AGGGTGGTACACTGTACTTGTGCGGTGCACGATTCGGCATTCGTCGAGTAATGCCTTCAAGGCGTCAGAAAGGAAGGCACGACCTCTGTCACTTAAGAGTGACGTAATTTGGTGAATGCATCGTCGCATGCTGGTGACCAGGTGGAAAGGTCCTTGTCGCCGCTAAGAAGGTCCGTAAGGGGCGCACATACAGAAGCAAAATTTCTAATAAAGCGTCGGAAGTATGACGACAAGCCGACAAAACTTCTAAGTTCCTTCAAGTTCTTTGGTTTCGGAAAATCGACGACTGCTCGAAACTTGGCGGGGTCAGGAAGTATGCCGTCCCGCGATACGACGTGGCCAAGAATGGTGAGCTGCCGAGCACCAAAACGACACTTCTTGAGGTTGAGTTGAAGGCCGGCGTCGGTGAGATGTGTGAGGACGTGCTCGAGACGATTTAAATGGGTGTCGAAATCGGTGGAAAAGACAACTACGTCATCGAGGTAGCATAAACATGTGTTCCACTTGAGGCCTCGTAAAATAGTGTCCATCATTCTTTCAAAAGTGGCTGGAGCGTTACAAAGGCCGAAAGGCATAACGGTAAACTCGTATAACCCATCAGGTGTGACAAATGCTGTTTTCGGTCGGTCAGATGCTTTCATCGAAACTTGCCAGTATCCAGACCGTAAATCCAGCGAAGAGAAGTATTCTGCTCCCTGCAAACAGTCAAGGGCGTCGTCTATTCGCAGTAACGGGTAAACGTCCTTGCGGGTCATCTTGTTTAAACGTCGATAGTCCACACAGAACCGAATGGAGCCATCCTTCTTCTTAACAAGAACGATCGGTGACGCCCAGGGACTGTTAGAAGGCTGTACAATACCCCGCTGGAGCATGTCAGCAACCTGGCCGTCAATAACACGGCACTCCGACGCTGAGACTCGGTAGGGGCGCTGCCGTAGAGGCGTATGGCTTCCTGTGTCAATCTTGTGAGATATGTTCGATGCGCGACTGAGGCCAGAAGCGTGGCTGTCAAAAGAAGTACGAAACTTTTGCAGCAGGTTCACTAACTGGCTTCGTTCTGAAGAAGACGTTGCGACATCGATGGAGCGGTGGAAAGCGTCAAGGAGTGACTGGTCAACATCAGAGTCTGAAATGAGTGCGCTGAGGTCCGTAGAAAGTAAACTAGATGGAGCGTCAAAAATGCGACGGGCGTCGATCGGATGCACGTGACCGAGACATTCACCATAGAATAAAGGTAAAGGCCCTTCTAGCGTATTGTACACGAGCGTCTTCGTGACGCCATGGTGGAGAGTAAGGAGAGCAATGGGCAGTGGAGAACATTTGCGTTGAATGAACAGGGCAGAGGGCGTAAATAAAACATCACCGTCGGAAATAGCGTCACACGACAGTCACCAGCAGAGAAGAGCGCGGTGGTACGGTGGTGTCGTCGGAAACAAACAGTTTATAACACGGCAGGGAGGCTTCGACAGCGTCTACATCAGGAAGTGCAGATAGCTCAAGTTCAGCGCGACAGCAGTCAATGACGGCATGATTATTCGCAAGGAAGTCCCAGCCGAGTATCATGTCATGGGAACACGAGGCAAGCACTACGAATTCGACGATATACACAATCCCTTCGATGACGACTCGTGTGGTACAGGCTGCGAGAGGTGTTACACTTTGTGCGTTAGCCGTTCTAAGAGAGAGGCCGGATAATGGCGTCAGAACTTTGCGGAGTTTGCGGCACAGGTTGATGGAAACGACGGATAGAGCGGCTCCGATGTCGACAAGCGCCATGACGACGATACCATCGACTGACACTTCAATCACGTTAGCTGGACAGGGGCGAGGACTTGTGCATGGCGACGGGGACGCAGTTCGTGCCTCGGGAACTGCGGCTGTTAGTTTTCCTCGTCGGTGGGTCCGGAATGGCGACGCATAGGGGAAAGCGAACGTCGACGTGGAGATGGGGAGCGGCGGGTCGGGCCGTGTGGACGATCAGAAGAAAGGAAGAGGAAGGAGGGCTTGAAGGCGTAGAAGAAAACTGAGGGTCGAAAGAGGGCATCCGTCGAATGTTCTGAGCAGCCTGGCGACGACGACAATAACGTGCCACGTGGCCAACACCACCACAAGCAAAACATATGGGACGGTTGTCGTGGGTCCGCCATTGGTCAGAGTAGACTCCGACTTCCGGCTGGGCGGCAGGAAACTGCGGCCGAGGTGGTATCGGCATAGGCGGCGGTGAATAGATCGGCGGCGAAAAGGGCGGCGACGAATACGTAGGCGCTGGCTGGAACGCAGGCTGTTGAGGTCGAGCAACGGCCTCGGCGTACGTGAGAGGTGTGGCGACTGGCGGCGGTTCACGAGCGGGAGGAAGAACTTGTGCGACCTGGTCTTGAATGAAGTCGCGGAGTGTAGACGTCAATCTGCGTGGTTGATCGGGTACGCAGGACATCAAAGAGAGCTGACGAGCGACCTCAGCGCGGATGAACTCTTGGATCTTGGAGAGAAGAGGGGCATGGTCTTCTCCAATGCCAAGGGTGGACAGGCTGGACAAAGAGTTGTCGAGCACCGAGGGACGTCGGGTGGAAAGACGTTGCCTGCGCAACTCGTCAAAACTCTGGCATAACTCGGTCAGTTCTAGGACAGTGCGAGGACTCTTAGAAAGCAACATTTGGAAAGCGTCGTCCTCAATGCCCTTCCTGATATGCTTGATCTTAAGCTCTTCGGACATGGACTCGTTGACTCGCTTGCAAAGGTCCAGAACCTCCTCAATATAGCTTGTGAAATTCTCACCAAGCTGCTGGGACCGAGTATGTAAGCGTTGTTCGGCACGGCGTTTGCGTACCTCAGGCTGCCCGAAAACTTGTGTGAAGCTCGTTTTGAAGACCGACCATGTAGGGAGTTCCGCTTCGTGGTTTATAAACCACAGCTTGGCCACGTCCGACAGGTAGAAGGAGACGTAGGCCAACTTGGCGGCGTCATCCCATTTGTTGTGAGTACTCACTCGCTCGTACATTGAAATCCAGTCGTCAACGTCCTTGTCTTCTGTGCCTGAGAAAACAGGGGGATCTCGCAGACGCAGAGAACCGGCGCAGAGAACAGTAGGCGGTGCCGGTGGAGGAGTTGGAGCGGCGCTTGCGTCGGTAGGCATAGTGGATGGTAAAATGCGATTCCGAAGCTCCAGGGTGATCGAAACCCAGCAGAATCCACCACTTGTAATGGGGTTTATTTGCAGCGCAAAACGCAGAAAGCGAAGCAGTCAGCAGCGTCCGGCCAAGCGCAGCAAGCACGAGCTTATGCTGATGGCGATGCCCCTGATGCGCCGAGAAATGCCGCTGAAGCTCCTCTTCTTCACTACACTCCTCAACAATTTTCTATTTCATCACCTACAGCATAATGTTTAACATCTGCTCAAGTTTCTTTGTTCTTCTCTATATGTCTGCCTCATGTTTTATTACTTGCAAAATGAAATGGTTGTACACCTTGAGTTGCCGATCATGAGCTTGAATTACCTATTATATATTAACTAGCTAATTCTTAGCTATAAATGAATTTTTTTTACATAAGTAGGCACACTGATAATTAATGAAGTGAAATTAAATTAAATCTTTATTTCCACTGTGTACAATCTTAGGTGGACAACAAAAAAAAGCTCCCAATGGGCAGCTCGACTAGTGTGAAGCTCAGTGGCCTACATATACATATTTTTGCATGGTTTCAAAGGCTGGTTGTTAAGCTTGACCACTTGTTCTTTTACCAGGCTATTGAGCACCATTGTAGCCATATTGGTGCTAATCATAAAATTCCTTTTTTTGTAAATTTGCAGAGCTTTGCTTTTCAGGCTCTTGATAAAACATTGCAAAAAGGTGTTTGCTTTTTATTGTTTTTCTTGAATGTCTTGAATGTCTATTGTAAAATATGCAGTTGCCAAAAAAGTGTATACTAACTTAAATGTACTAAATTGCGTGCTTTTCCGAGCTAGAACAACTTAAAAATGTAGTGCAAGTTCACCGAGTAATATTTACTTAAACAAAACAACACTCGAAAAGAAAGTCATTGTTGTCATGTTTTGATGTCACCATTCATCTGCAATACTGTATGTGGCAAAGTGGAAGTGTGTCAACTGTATTGTAGGAAATTTCGTTGAGCTTGGAGCTTTCGTATGTAAAAAGCACAGCACTGACACAGCCTGGATGATGTGTTGTTTATGGCTTGCGTGACCCTTTTCTGTAGGCTTAGGCTGCATAGCATGCCTTGTGCGAGTTACGATTTCACATTCCAGCATCTGGCCTGGGGGGCTATTTTGTAAGAGTTTTCTCGAGAACAAGGAGAGAATGGAATGGGAGAACAAAAAGCAATAAACAGCCATAGGCAAGCTGAGGGAAATCAGAAATGCTATTAACACTTGAAGAAGTACAGAATTATTACAGCTTAACATCAATATTGAGAGGCATTATTTTTCAAAGCTGGAGGCTGCGGAATGGGATGACTTCAGCAATTTATTTGTGTTGTAATGTCTTGAGTGTGCACTAAGTGTTGTCACAATTTGATGAGTTATTTGGTGGTGATTTTCAGCGTGGAATCACGGTAAGCCAGGTGAAAAACAGGCTAATTCAATTCTCTGGGCGTAAGCACCTAAGTTTCAATCCAGTCCACATCGTCCAGAGACCGTTTTGTGCTCATTCTATCGATAGAACGGGGCTTCCACCCATTTTATGCTTATTTCGTGGCTATTTTCACGTCCTGACTGTCAGAATAGCCTTGACCAATCTCATGTGGCTTCCTCTCATTCTTCCGTTTGATCCCTCCTCCATCCTTGATGGAAAGCTTAGGAAATAGCACCCCTGAAGTACAGTGTGAAGTCGAGACTCCTGCTTCAGTTGTTCATTGTTCACAGCTTTCTTAAAATGGCAAATTTGCATAGCACTACACGTTTATTACTGAAGAGGATGAATATTGCTTTCTTTTTATTGCCCCCGCACAAGCTTCCCATGTATTGCTTGTTTTTGTGAATGCAGGACATAGTGTCAGAACATGGAATAGACACTACTAGACTGTTCATCCTTTGTGCCTACTCCCCAACATCACGCTACAAATGGCCCAGTCCTGGTAATTTTACCATTTGGCACTTGTATTATAGGCAGCATGTTAGTATGCTCTGGTTTCTCTCTCTTATTTTGCTGCAATTGTTTTATTTTGCTCAATGAGCACACACTTTACATTGTTATTTGCATTTGTTAAAAAAATTTGTTGTTTATTAAAATGTTCTGAACACAATGATACCATTATTTACAGTGCGCAGGGATTAAAACATGGCTATTTAGGAGGACGTAATGCACATACTTAAATTTCACCATATTGAATTGGGGTTATATTGATATAATTTTGACTCGAACGCATATGTCAGAGCCAATATTACACTTAGCTGCCAATTTTGTAGCGACATGATGCAGTTATCTTGAGGAATTGCACATACCAGCATAAAAAAATTTCATGGACTTTAATCTGCAAACACCATACGCCTGATTTAATTGGGACATTTCTACTCTGTATACAGCAGAGGTCTCAAACACACCTCAGCTTGGGCCGCAGTCTCGAAATTTACTCTTGATTGATTGATATGTGGGGTTTAACGTCCCAAAACCATCATATGATTATTATGAGAGACGCCATAGTGGAGGGCTCCGGAAATTTCGACCACCTGGGGTTCTTTAACATGCACCTAAATCTGAGCACAGGGGCCTACAACATTTCTGCCTCCATCAGAAATGCAGCCGCCGCAGCCGGGATTCGATCCCACAACCTGCGGATCAGCAGCCGAGTACCTTAGCCACTAGGCCACCGCGGCGGGGCTCGAAATTTACTCTTCTGCATGGGATACCACAATAAGGAAGATTGTAGCAGTAAGAAAAGATTGAATGAAATGTCAACTAACATTACAGTTTGAAAGACGATCTTTCCCATATCTTCTATATGGGTCATTTCTGAAGGAGATATGGCATCCAGATTCGAGAGATGTATCGACACCAATCTCCAGAAGGACGATGATCTGCATGTTGCTCTTTGAATACAGAGTTTTTGTTTCATGCTTATGTTTTAGCAAATTGTGACCACATAAAAAGTGGGGCCTTACAAAAAAAAATGCTTGAAAACAATGCCCAGCCAGATTAGTGCAGCTCATGAGCATACTTATTGGAATTTTTTTTAAACATGAAGAGCCTGCATCTTCTTATGTGCAGCCCAGTCCACTAGCGAAAGGACCATGGGCCACGTGTTTGAGACCCCTGGTATACAGGATGCCCCAACCAACTTTAGTCAAAGTTTAAAAATATCCCAATGTCCTGTAAAAAAGATGTAACCAAATGTGTGTTGCTGGCCATATTATGTAGCAAGTCGACTATTTTTTATTCCATTTAATTACAATATTAATTAAAAATAATTAATCAGTATTGTAACTATAATAACATTGCAAAACTTTCAATAAGTAAATAGAGCATTCTGAGTTCCCACTACAAACATATATTTGGGTGCACATTAAAGAGTGGTCAAAATTAATTTGAGAAACACATAGCTCCTCTGCTGCTCAGGAACATAGAGCAGCAAAAATCACTCATTACATTAGCAAATGTCACTGAGCACTTATGAACCATCATGGGGTTTAAGTTCATTATATGATACAGCAGCTGCTTGCATTATGTCCAAGAAACTTATTCAATGCTTTCTTGCATTTTTTAAGCTTACTGCTACCCTTCAAGCACGGTAAATTCATGCCTAAAGATCCGTTTTTATAATGTGAAGTCTTATGAATACTCAACAATCAATAGCAATTAGACACAGGTGGCACAGGATTTGCATTGGAAGTGTGTCTAGTTGTCATTGTAAAGAACTGTGTAGGAGATGTCAGAAAAACCGTTACAGAGAAAACACTGACTTGTAACATTGTAAAGACAAAATGAAACAGGGATGGTTGCGATTTTTCCCTTCAGCCCTCTTGCATTGCCACAAGGACCTATGTAGGCTAGTTGCACGTGGGGACAAGCAATTGAGAAAAGCACATTAGTAAAATATTAGGTAATCATTTTGAAATGATGCAACACTGCACAGCAACCAATACTTTAGACATGGGTACAAAGAATGGGGACATAGGCCTGAGGAACCAAGAATCTTCTATTCTGTGCCTCGGTTTTATTTATTTATATCCATGTCAAAAGTATTCTTTGCACTTCAGTGTTTCATCATGTCACAGAACCAACTCACCCACTACAATTCATTTGGCAGGTAAAATTTTGCTTTAAATGCTTTTTGCCTGTTGGGATACATACTTGCCTATAAATTTCAGAAGAATCGAGCCTGCTTGGGATGTGGCTGTCTTCTTGTAGCTATAGCACCCATCCATGTTCTAAATGCTTTGTATTTACAAGATAGCCTAGGAAACTAATACTGTGAAATTTAATTTGTAAAGTGTTTAGCTTGGCTATTTTTTATGATTTTTTCTTATATTGTGTTTCGTTGTCTTGTAGTGACAAAATTTTCTACAATGCATGCAAAAGCTGCACAATGATGCAGCAGAAAATGATAAGCACCAGATTTAGAGACAGAAAGATGGCTGTAGGGCATTTTACACACGTACATGGTATTATAGTAAATTTTAAAAGGAAGAAGTGGAGTTGTATCAGTGTAATAGAATGGGTAACAAAGGTAAGGAACTACATTTGGAGGCAGCAGAGGGTAAAGTGTTTCAGTGTGATTAGTGAATAAGAAAAAATAGGGTGGAGTCTGTCGAAGCAAGGAAGGGGTAGTTATGACCAATAGAAGTGTCCATCATGTTGTGGTAATTAGGAGGAGTGCAATAATCATCATGGTGATGATGATGAAAACACTCCGTCAAGAGACTCCAACTATCTGTCGGAGAAAAAAAAACTTGCTTGTGTAGTATCTGGCACAAACTTTTCCATGATTGCCTCTCTAAGTACAATATTACTTTGCTGCAGCATTTCGTGGAATTGTCAGCTGGCAGGAGCGGCTGTGGCTGACTGTACATGATTTCCGGAATAGTGTGAAACGACCACTGGAACAGGCACAGTCCAGTCCAGAATTTGCAGAGCGGGAGGCATACTACTACGAGGGCAGAAATCACCATGTAAAAAATGTAATGTCTCTATACTCTCTCTTCCTTATTTTCTAATAACACAATACTGTAATCCCTCATTGTAATCCTTCATTGACAGCTATGTATTTCAGCACTTTGAGCCCTTTTCCTGTGAAAATTGATAAGTCTGAAGATGATTGAAGCAGAATATGCACTAAAGATATAGAAATCTCTGAAGAACTTTAATGTTTTACATAACAATTTAACTGCTTGGTATTCATTGCAACTTGACCCTGTCTTATGCATATCAGTTTTGAACAAAAGTTCACAATTCTCTCGTAGCTAAAGCAATGACTTGCAAGCATGTTGCGCTCTACCTTTATGCAGGTAACATTCATGTACAATGTCACTCGGCAGCTCAACCTAGTCATCAAGGACCTCCAAATATTCACAAAGCATTTACGGGTAAGTGTCATAATTTCTTTCTTACATGCCTGTGACATTGAGGATGTCTTGAATGCTTGGCATTGCACCCATTTATATCTTATATTTTATGCATAGGCCAGATGAAGGCTTTGAAGTAACCTTTCAGAGTTCTGAGATCTTTCCTTTCTGTTTTTCTTCTTCAGTTGTACATGCTTAAATGGTTTATAGTCTCTGTTGCATGACTTCATACTAGTTAAACTACTGCTAGCATGCACCTTCTTGTAAAGTCTGTTGCCTACAGTATTTCAAGCAGAAAGAGTCCACGTAGAGGGGGCTATGAACGAGCTTTATAGAAGTTAATAAACAGCACAAACTTACCAATGCATATGCACACTGGCAAAAAACCTGTGCATATAATTTGTCCTGAGATTGCACTGGCGCCTAATGGGAACTGACTACTTGTATACCTATATCTCATCTCTGCTATGCTGTTCACGGCGAGATCAGGCTATAGGTGGCAGCACCATCCCCGTGCAAGTGTGGATAGGCGGTCAGCGGCGCGTATACAAATACACGCAGCAGCACTTCGTTGCGTAGGGTCTGAGCCAATTGTCGGCGGATAATGCGTTGACTATAGTTTACTGTTAATATCTACGCTCTTCTCTATTGAATCGGTGCACGACACCTATGCAACGTTTACATTACCTAGTCTAGTCAGGAAAGCTTAGTGACTGACGACGCTTTGCGCTAAACTGCATTTACAATGTGTATGCCCATGTTTGTGCACCAGTAAAAGTCTTATACAAGAGTGCAGCAGAAAGCTTTCATCGATGGATTACGTGCATGGCAATGCTACAAAAAAGGTTTGGTTGATGAGACAAGCATATTTTTTTTTAGACAAAAACTTACTACTGTCTTCTGTCGGTCTCCAACAACGCCACAGAAACGCTAAAAGCAACGTAAAAATAAGATAAAATTTTCAGTGAAATTATAGATTATATATAAGGCATGCCATCTGAATTAATTTTCAACGTCTGGGCTCTTTAAAGCGGTCCTAAATCTAAGCACACGATTGCGCACGCTAACTCTGTTTTAAGTACAGTGCAAGTACCGAAGCCTCACACATCATGTGATAGTAATATTTCAATATAGTGGTACCACCGCCAGATAAACACAACTAAGGCTGCTCACATGATCGATAAACTACAATGTCGTAGTTGTACACCTACCAACAGTGCGCAAATGTATTACCTACAGCCAGTTTTTTTTTTTTTTTTTACAACCGAGTCACTTTAAAACGTTGCATTCACACAGCATTTAATAGTCCTCATGTTTGGGAAGATGCGAAGGGCATTTTGTGATGTGCTTGAAACAGAAAGCGGCACCCACTCTGAAATCATTCTGGTGAATGGAGGGTACGACGACAATAAACAGCACTCTGGAAAGTTGCACTCGCCGATCTTATTACAATGCATTATCAGCCGAGCAAGACCAAATACTTTCGTGCGTCATTTCAGGCATACATAGAAACAGTCACACTCGCGGTGACATGACCAGACAAACCACAATTTGAGAACGTGCATGGCGTACGCGCACATAGAAACACGACGTGGCTAGCAGACGACGCAAGGAGCAATCCACACTTCACCATTTCGGCCAGTTGCCACCAGGCGGCGACTCTGCTCGATCTCGCAGCCAAATAGCCTGTCAAGCATATAGTAAGACTTGCTTGGTATTGGCTACCAGCATAGGTTACACCACGAAGCAGTGGTAAATTGAGTGTTTACTTTCATGTTTTCACTCCCTGTGATACAATAAGTATAGAAAACAATAACATACTAAATTTAGGCTTTTTGAGATGCATATCTGAGACAAATATCTCAAGCCATTTTTTTAGCGCTAAATTCAAAATTACCACAAGCAAATAGTATTAGTGAACTCACAGGCTTAATGTCCAAACAATGTAAATGTGTCTTTTGCATTTTGTTAATAAAACATTAAACATTCAAGTCCTTTTCTTTTTCTTGCAGTGTAGTACCTTAAGAATGTTGAACTTTTTTGCATTTCAATTCCATGATTAGCAGCATTTCACTCAATAGGTGGTTGCACCCATCTTTTACATAGGCATAATGGTGCACTGTTTCTTTTCAAAACTTTTTGCAACACAGACAAACAAGATTTGATGAGACTGCATCATACTATAAGCACATGTTTGTTCAATATGCACTCAACAAGGTAGTATACTATAGGTTTATGCTGGTACTACCAGTTCATTACATCATTTATATATGTTGCACATAATAAGCTTAATTGCTGTCATTAAAAAATTGTTTCCTGCATCACAGTTGTCAGTTAATGTCAATATGGTTGATTTGGCGAGTTGGGGATACATGACTGTTTTAAAATGAGAGCGCGCTGCTTAGACGCGGACAGAAAGACTGTCTTTCTGTCTGCGTCTAAGCAGTGCGCTCTTATTTAAAAAAAATGTCAGTTAATGGTCACACATTCTGCAGCTTTTTTTGTTATGTATCCAGGCCACTCATACTCTTTTTTTATAATTGGTAAGCAGTGGTGTTGTGCCAAGCATTTTCTTCTATACCAAACTAATAATGTCACTGGGAGCTGGTGCATGAAATGGAAGATGGCATCATTAGTCCAGAGTGTTTTTGTTTTTTTTTTTTTGCATTTCACTTACAGAAGAACTGACTTTTTTCCCTACTCCAGAAGAGGATATCGGTATAGATTACCTTATTATTTACTTTCATTGTGTCATATTTTAGCCACGGTTAGGTTCGCTATATCAGTGCCATTGTAACAACAGCTCGAATTGCATGTCTGAGACCAAATACTGAAAAACATAAAAGGAAAGCCACCTTCACTGTAAATGATAAGTTTGCAAAGCACTAGGAAAGCTTAAATACATCATTTTTTTCGTGTTTGCAGTGTAGTGAATGTTGGCAGGATCTAAAAAATCAAATCTTTATGATGCTTAAAAACGGTCTTCGCTACTTAATGTATATGTGAAGCAGGTCAATATGTAGGAGCACTTAAACGTGTTCAGAACACTAGCAGGCTGATTATACGCTCTTTTATAATAAAAATCTACATGATCAACATAATACTAGTAATCAGCCAGTTGTCTTAGGAAAAAGTAATGTTCTACGTGATGTCTGTTTTTTTACAGTTGTCCTACATCAACTAACATGGCTGCGAGTCATACTGCCCGACATTCTCTCAAGTCTAGGTTATGAAATGTGTCTGCTCAGTGCTCAATATAAGCTCAAACACAAACAAGCTCAAAGGGATTGCATAACACATTTGTTCTGTGTTTGCTGGCTTATATGATATTTACGAGATTTGTTCTCAGAGAGGTGTTTGAGGGGCCATTTGAAATTTAGCTACAAGATATAGAGGCATACAGCACCACTTTCTTAAGGCAGATTCTTGTTTATATGTCCCTTTGTTTTTCTAATCTGTATGAGCGCTCAAGAAAGTGAATGAAGGCACAGCCATTGCCGTAGCTTCATTGACAGAGCTCTGTACACTTTGAGTTGAAATTTTAGATTCTGATTGCAGCGATGTGATAAAATATAACCATCCTTTTCAATTATATTGAGTGGTAAAATATTTTTAACCAGGGTAGTAGGTAGAATTTTTTCTAAGAAACGGGGCCACCTTCTTGATCAGAAGGGGGGGGCTGGTCAGGCAAATGTGGTCAAATGTCATTTTGGGCTCTGTATGATATGGCAAAAAGAAATAGTTCAAGAAGGGCACGGGCCCGATGTGCCACTGTTTTAGATACATTAAACTTTTATGCCGATTTTCTTCGCTTCATGTGGTTTGCAGTTGTTGTTCAAGCTCAGGACAGAATGTTGCATCATGATATTTTGCCTATTACAAGAACTTGGAAGGAGGATTTATGTATGGGCAAGGTTCACCTGCAAGTAACAGCACTAAGTCTGCTTCCATAGCAAAATAGCGTACAGCCTATTATTTACTCCAGTTATATGACATCTTGACAGTATATGAATGTAATATCAGATTCTCACAGCTGCTTTTTAATTGTACATTTTTTTTCACTGTTGTCTTGAAAGGCTGTTAACCTGTGGGAATTGAGAAATGAACCATGAGCATAGAGGGACTTGAATTTTCAGGTGCAGTTGAAGGTGCAGTTGAAGAAAAAAAGAGTATGGGGACGACACAATGTCCTGCACTCATATGTCTGAGTGACATGTGTGGAAAATTGTGCCGCTGATAAGGAGCTCTCGCTGGAAGTCTCTTTTATTACTGAGGACGAGGAAAGCAAGGCAGTTCAAAATGGGATATAGGGCTAAAAGGCAACGGACTAAAAGAGGCGAATGAGGACAAGCAAGACAGCACTTGTCCGTGTTCCCCTTCTGCTAGTCCATCATCTGTTGCTGTGTTTTTTTTCATAAGTGAAGCGATCTTAATTTTTTATCTCCGTGGCATTGTGCACTTCCAGTTCCTGCCTCAGGGCCAGATGATCAATAGCAAGCTTACAATGGGATTTTTTAGTGTCTGCATCACATGACACACGAGAAGAGACCAGAGTTGTGGCAAAGCAAACTGTGGCGTGTTCATCAAGATAAGACACCAAGTAATGATTTCTGACTAAGAGGAACAATCTCTATAGTTCACTGACCTTGCCCCTTGCAACATTATTTTATTCCCCACACAGTCAGAGTAATTATAAGGGGACCCCAAATTTAAGGTGTAAAGGCCGTCCAGAGAGCCATAAGAAAGGAGTTAGACGGATTACTATGTGGCAGTACATATAGACATGGCAGAACAGAAAAAGAGAGTTGCACAGAAAGAGAATTAGTACTTTCATGGGGACAGCTTACAGGTCTGATGAAAAAACCGCCAGGCCTAAGGGGAACATGCAGCACAGTCACACTGAAAGCTGGAAGAGTGGCCTTTCAGAGCTTTTTTTTTACACTCTTTATGTAACTACTGCAAGCACACTTGGTTGGTTGGTTGGTTGGTTCCTCAACACCTTGGCGCAACCCACCTAGGGGGATAGGCCATGAATGGGACGGTGCCTTGCTTTTTAAATTAATTCACTTCTCGAAAGGGAGGGTTGGATTAATTAGGTAATATAGGTAATAATATAAATGTGCTTCATTTTTAAACAAACAAGAAACCTTGAAAAGAAAAACTTAATAAACACACAAAAAAGAAAAAAAATTATACATAAGACAACTGAAGTTATTTATGTTTAGCATTCCATTCTTTTAGATTCTCGTAAGAAATTTGTAACAGCGGTAAAAACGCTCCTGTGGCTGAATCCAAATGCGACTGCGCCAAGTGAAAGAATCACCGGAAGTGTCAAGTTTAAGTTCAACTTTCGTAGGGGTTATTCTAGTAGATTTTTCCTTTGACTTTTGAATTTTCGGCATGACAAAAAGAAGTGCTCCAAAAATTCCCTATCATTACTATAAAGGCAAAAAGGCGACTGTGCCAGACCCGACCTGTGAAGGTAAAAGTTCAATGAAGGGACTCGACAACACAGCCTGGTAATTACTATTTCTTCCTTTCTTGATAAACACCACTTGTTCTTCCAAGGGAACTTTAACTGTGGGTAGTCTGATACAAACAAAGGAGATTTTTCGAAGTTATTGGCCGTTGTGCATTTTTCAAAGCGTGCTGCTGTGATATATTTCGAAGTAGGCAAAATAGGTAAAACAGGACAATCAAGGGAAGATACAGCAAGTGCATCTGCATGCTCATTGAGAGCTAAACCTCTATGGCCTGGTACCCAAACTAGTCGAACGAGTCGCACATGTCTAGGAATGAGCAAGTAGAAAGTTTCTAAGGTACACGAAAAAGTTGGTGAGCTTAAGGCAGTACAGACCGAGAGACAGTCTGTTAGAACAATCACCGCAAATACATCTAGCAGCACTTTACGCAATGCTAGGACTATTGCCAGTAGCTCAGCTTGGTAAATAGGGGTAAAGTCAGGTAATAGAATTGAGAAAGCCTAATCTAGAGAGGATGATAAGATTCCAACGCCAGCCTTCTCTTCATAAACAGAAGCGTCAGTCGCTATCACAATGGATGTTTCTGGCCAAATGATCTTCCAAAATGCCATTTATATACTGGTACGGTAAATTATTTGCATTCTTGGGATATATATTGTCAAACTCAATCCTAATTGCATCTACAGTGTTTAGTACAAGTACTTCCCAAATGTTAACTCTTAAGGGCTCCAAAAGTTTCTGTGTAAATATTACTTGAGGGCACCGTAATTTAGACCATTGGTGGTTAAAAAATGAGGTCTGCTGGTTAATGAATACATACTGTGACCTCCGCTGATGTGATGCATAGATTTTAAGGAATGTACGTACTGTTAGAATATGAAATCTTCTGGTAAGAGAAGGCAGGCGGGATTCTTCGTATAGGATATTGTTCGCAACATATTTAGGTAGCCCTAGGCATAAGCTTAAAGGTACGCGTTCTAACAGAATCAGTGGTCGAACTTTGTAGGCCGGAGCGCCAGAAAACAAAACACAGCCGAATTCTAATATCGGTCGAATGTACATGCAATATATCATGACGAGCACATCTCTACGCAAACCGGCACGATAACTACTGAGCCTTCGCAGCATCCCTATGGCATGTGCTCTTTTAGCAGCCATGTTTTCTATGTGGCGACTCCAGTTAAGTGTTTCGATGTAGGTCACCCCCAAGTACCGAACTGACTCGACCTGAGGTATGGCGTCTTGTCGGTACATTAGTGAAATTCGCACTGGGGCATTTTGTGCGAAAACTACGATTGTACTTTTGTTTGTATTGAGGCATAGGTTGATATCCTCCAGCCACGTTTCCAGGCTATTCATGTATGTCTGCAGAATAAAATACAGTGTGTGAATGTTCGCCGATGCAGCAAAAAATGTGATATCATTGGAATACACATAGACCTGTACATCTTGCTGTAGGGGAATGGTACATAGTAGTGCATTAAATAATAAGGGCGATAGTACTGACCCTTGCGGTATACCTCTCGTTTGCCTATATATTGAAGAGTTGACACCAGATTGCGAGCATTAAAATTCTCTATCACCTAAGAAAGCTTGGATCCAGGCCACAAAGTATTGAGGCAGCCTTTTCTCTACTTTTATGATCGACTGAACTGAATGTTATCACTTCTTTTTTGTTGCGCAGTACAAGAACCGTGGAGAAGTGGTGTTTGGAAGAGAGTTTGAGCGTGCTCTAGCTGCTCTACTGCTTATGTTTGCACCACTGGCACCTCACTTTGCCTCAGAGCTTTGGGCAGGATTCGCCGATGCTGCTCGCTTCAGAGATGTTGAATATCAAGTAGTAAGTGCTAACCAATGTGCATTGTTTAGATTAGTGAGCAAAGCATTTGCACTCCGGATGACCTAATTAGTTTTACTTATTGTTCTTCTAGGACCGCCCTCTTGTGGAACAGCTATGGCCACAAGTCGACGCAGATTTCAACTTAGACCTTCTTATTAAGGTATTCAAATCATATTCAAATCACACAAAGCATTTATTGTTCAGCAAACACTTATACAGCAGCTTTGAAACAGTTTTATTCACATAGGTAGCAAAATCTGATTTAGTCTGGTTAATTTTCAGGAAGACAATGTGGACTTGATGAGGATACAGCTGCCGCGCCATGACTTTGAACGCTTGACAAAGGAGTCTGCATATCAAATGGCCATTAAATCTGACAGTCTCCGTCATCGCTTGCAGAAAGGACCAAAGTTTCGTGTTGTGTTTGACCACTACCCTTCATACAAAGCAGAGCTAAGGTTCATCTCTCGAGGGAAACACGCTGAAGAACATCAGAAAGTACTTTCTCAAAATCGTATTGAATAAGACAATTGAGACTCTGAGAGTTGTAGTTTTAAAATTATTGCGTCAAGCTAAATAAACATTATTTTATTTTAACAGCTGATGTCTCTAACAGAAGCCCAATATATGACTCCTGCTGCAAAAATAAAAATTCCCTCCTTCTTATACCATGACAAAATGCTAGTGTGTATACAGTGAAAACTTCCAGAAAGTAGTTGATCATTGAAATGGACAGCAAGTCTGAATCAGTAAAATGTGCAAGCACAAGCTAGCCTTTCTCTAATGTCTGCAATAAAATGGCAGCAGATTTAGTTACGCCTAAGGTTTTACAGGATTGGACACCATGCTGTTTCGATATGAATAGGAATGCTGGGAGATCAAGGTTTTTAACTTGTGTGCTTATTTGAACTTACGAAAATCTCATCTCATTTTCACCATATATCAAGCAGTGAAGATGACATCAAATGCTGCTGCACTCACATTCTTAAAACTGTAAGCAGTTTATTCAAGGAATTAAGTTGTGGAAACTGTTACAGCCAACAGGCTGGAACCTCATTGAAACTAATTTCTTTCAAACTAAACCAGAAATTGTTCAGTCGGAGTCTCCTGTTGCTTATAAAAGCTAATACAATGAGCTTTCAGCAAATTTAACAGTTCCCTTTAAGACGAATTCATGTAAGACTGCATTTGCTGCCGTCTCAATCACAAAAGCTTTTAATCACTGTATATGTACTTATGCAGCTTCTATGAGATGAAGCCAAGCTGTATTAAGCCCAAGCAATACTGAGCATGACCATAAAAATCACAGTCTAATTTTATTTTTAGTTGTTAACTGAACACAACACAGAGATAAAACCATTTTGCACTTTGGTATTTTGTTACAGCTCTTTATTTCACAGTGACATAAGGTATCTGAAAATAGAGCATCAGTAAATCCAGTACTTTTGTGAAAAATCACAGGAAAAATCACCCTTTTAAATCTAAAAAGCTAGCAGAAAGGAACAGCAAAATCGCACACTGCGGCAGCAGTAAATAATATTGTGCAAATGTCAGCAACATTCCAATACTACTGTGACAGAAGGGAGCAAAACCACCTTCACCGAACTGAAGCTTGAACGTTAGAAACTGACTTGTAAAGGGACCCAACTTAACCTATAAGGTTGCCCATATGATTGAAAAGTAACGTCATCACAACAATATAGCATTATAAGAGAAAGCGGAAAGGTATGCTCGAGCAATCAAGACTGAGTAGATGCCACTCTTAGTAAAAAGAAGCATGTAGCACAGACATAAGCATGTAGTATTGGCAGCAATTTTGGTAAGCTCATACCAGTTGCAGCTTCCACTGCTACTTCAAGTGGTGAAATGGAGAGAGTGACACTTATTGTGATATAATGCGAGGAAGTTGTACCATCAGATGGTCCTTGGGCAACAGCTTCGTAACCCCCGTTTTCTGCTGAGACAATGTCACAGCAGAAAACTGGGGGTGGGCCAAGCTGTTGCCCAAGGTATTTTGATCCTCTTGGGTTAGCATTTAAAAATAGATATGCCATAGCGATTGCAGCCAATCATAGACTCAAGACATCTTTAGTGACACACCCATTTGTTAAATAATTTCACATACATACTAGTATCAAAGAAAAATTTTTAATTTTGTTCAACTGAAGTGCCATTAATGGTCCTAAAGTTTAATGTGGATCACAGAAGGATCGTGATCTCTAAACATCATCGTGAATAGTATCAAACAAAAACCCGAAGCACTTCATATATCCAATGTCAGGCAGCACGAAATGTACAAGAAGTTGACTTTCCATAATAGTAAGTTGGCTTTTCCTGGTGAAAGGGGGCTTTTCCACATTAATTTGGAAAAGTGAGTGGTATTATTAGGTGTATGCTGTATGCCTTCTCCCATAATTCCTCATCGTGACACTATGTCGTTCACAATCGCCGTTGATTTCTCTACCATTCTCTTTCTCTTTTGATAACACAATGACTGCCGTGAAACGGAAAAGCCTGCTTTTGTTCACAAAGCTGGTAATAATAAACTCAGTTGAACGTGGAGGAAAAGAGTCTGAATTGCTGCTGAGTAGAGCATCCCAAGAATGATGAATACAACATTGAAGAACGACGACGACATTGGGGCCCAGGCAGACTAGGAACTTACAGTACCCGATGAGTATGCATAGCACCATATGAAGATGCCGAGGTGCTCTTTAAAACACTGTGCTTTCTAGCATACACCCTGCCCCTGCATATAACCTGCAGTTTTACCTACGAACAGCAGAACAATAATTCTAAAAAACCATGTACTGTTGTGAAGCTGCCTTCCTTGCATTATTGTGGAGTATTGTCGTTAAGCCAACTTGTGCACCAAAATATGGTAAACTTTTTAAAAGGTTTATATTGAATGATACAATACATTGAACTAATGTCCTTTTTTTTGCAAGTTATATTTATGCAGGTTCGACTGTATAACGTATTGATAATCTTTCACTTCTATTGGTTTAACCTCTAATATTTACCGACACTTATGTGCAATGGTGCCTTTTTTTTTTTTTTTTTGTCCTCTTTACCAAATGCCCACTCCGACTGTCTTTTAGACATATTGTGAGCGCGACAAGCGAATGACTCTTTATTCTGTTTGATATCATCATCACCTGTACATCTTCTTCATCTGTAAGTATCATCACCAGCGTGATTTAGCTCGAGCCTGGCTGAATAAACCGATTCCTCACAATATCCTTAGTTTGTATCCTTCAGGCACCTCATCTGGTTCGTTCAACACAGTATTGTTATTGTGCAGTGAATCAACTTACTTGTCATTACATTTCTGTTCCCCACCCAAAGAAAAATGATGTAACTGCAGTCCCTTTTACTTTACTGTTTTGGCATGGGATGCCTTTTTAAGAACCCAAAACCACCATACTTAAGCAGTACTATTGTGACAAGTGATAGCAGGAGCATAAGACTGTATAAGACATGGTGGTTATGAAGTTACCAAAGACCAATTTCTGTGACCCATAAAGGGTCAGTGGCATAGAGTAATGAGAGGGACGAGAAAGGATAGCAAAAGAAGAGAGTAAAAAGGCTACCTTCTTGAGATGAGTATCCACACTACCGGGTGCCAGGCTAAAGCATATCTCTCCCCTTTAGAAAAACTGCTGGTTGCCCGGCAGCGATGGAAATCGCATCCAATAAAACCCATCTGCGTTGAAGGTGGACACTCTACCACTGCACTATCGTTGTGATTGCTGTGCAATAATCTGAACAAAAAAAACATGGCTTTATTTTTCAGCCAATTCAAACAGTAGCCCTCATCCCTAAAGTTGTCCTGAAGTAATGTTATAAAATGGTGCTGCATGAATCACTGTGATAAGGAATACGAAGTGCTAGTGATGCATAATGGCAGAGAAAAATGATGCTTTTCTATTTCACACACACTAAAGGTACTATATTAAAAGAATAAAGCTTCCAGAAATGGAAGACACAAATGAACACAATGCTATACACACACCAACCTGATTTAAAAAGACTTTTACTACCCAGCTGAAGCAACATTCATCCTAGAATTTAGTACCAATATCACCAAGGACGAGCTACGCTTGTGCAAGCCCTAGCCATTACTGTTTTTGTTGCCAGAGACAAGCTGCACTCATCAACCTGGCTATCGCCATGCATCTGAATTTAGGTGCTCGAACATACTATTTCTTTGCATTCAATTCCTTTTGCTATCTCTGTTTAAGCTAATTATATTCAACCGTTATGCACCTGTTGAAGAAAAGTCTCTTTCTTTTAAAGCAGGTGTCAGTCATTAATTAGGTGATTATAAGAAGTAAACTGCACACATAAACCTGTTTTTTTAATACAGTTGTAATGGCCAGGAAACTGTCAGAATTAGGAAAATTGTGAATGTTTTCTTAGAAAGCATGGGTATCAAAATTTGTGACATCCATTCTGGTTAGCAGGCTTAGCTTCCAAGTAAACAGCTAAAGCTACTGCAACATGTTGTACTTTTTATAGCAGCATTCTCTAGAAATATTTCCTTTCTCATAGTTGTGAATTGATACTGTGCATTTTCCTCACATTGTCTGTCAAAGTTAGCCCAAACATTTAGCAAGGTTAAAAGTCCATACAACACGTACTGCTTTGATGTGCTAAGTGCTTCACGAACGTTTACATGGTTATTTTTAGTATACACACATGGGAATGTACACATTCACGCTGGTCATTATAGTATAATGATTCTTTTCTTCTGTGCACACATCTGCATCAGCACAAGATGTACAACCAAAAAACTGTGCCATGTTTTAGTGGTAGACTTGCATCAAAGGTACGCACTGTGCTGTACAAAGATGGCTATTATATTGAGACTTGCTTCCCATAAGCACTGCACAAAAATAGAACTGACAAGCATGGGGTCAGCGTGCAGTTATTTCAGGGTACATTTGCTTCACAGGGACAGGTGGTGACAAAAGGAGTATTTGTCATCTGCTACACTCTAGGCAGAATTCAATAAAGTAATATAAAAAAACAGCATTTTTCACCACATTGGGACACAAAATGTCTGCCATTACACAATTTCATGAAGCCCTAATCACTGCAGTGCAATTAAACCAAAATATAATCAAGTTAATTTTTTTATAGTTTGCTTACAAGATGGAACGTTCCACAACACCTACAAACGTGTAGCCTCTATAAGGTTACGCATGGGTACTTCTCTCAAAAGGTTCTTATAAGCACGTCAGACATATGCACAACATTGACTCACTATGCTCTATTTTTACTGCATGGCTGTCTCAACATCCCTGCTTTCGCAAAGCAGGAAATTGGCTTTGAATGTTTTACCACTTTACACATTATACATTGTATAAACTAAGCACAACACAAATAGTTTTCAATCTACAATAAATATAACTTGTAAATTTGCTGTGCGGCTAGTGGACCAAATATTGGTCAAAGGAGTACTAGAACAACTAATCACAAGTGAATAAAACAAATAATTTAACACTTCATATATGCCACTGGCAAGAAGCAACAGATGATGCCCAGAGCATGCATGACCACTACACTGTGCACACCTTGTTTACACCAGGCCTGATGATGTCCTAAGTTGCACAGCAACCGATATTTTACTCGCCAAGCGCCCCTTAAAAACAGCTTTCTTCCTTTTTCAAAACAAAGGCTTATATAAAAAAAGTAACACAACTGAATTTGATTATGTTTTTCTGATGTCACATGGGACATGAAAGTATCATCACCGCATTCAGTATTGGTTATAAGCAAATAGCACCTGCTATGTACTGATATCTGAAAGGAACTGTTCAGGACTTACTTCATTATAGTATTTAATATTAATTACATCAAAGTCCAAACATAATGATATATAAGATGAACAGATCAGTATATATTTATAAACTTGCATTTTGATTAGATGTGGCGGCACATTACTTTTAGCAACCAGTGCACATTTTTAACATGAGATATGCAGAAAAAAGCAAATGGTATTGAAATTTTTGTGACACACACAAGTTGCTGCATGCATGGTATGCCGACTCCTCACTTGTTACAATCACGGTGAATAATTTTTATTGACAGCATCAGTGCTCACCAACAATTAAAAAAAAGAAAATAACATGTGCTACCACAACCAACTGATACAATAATGCTCAACCTCACCATCCACAGCTTTACAGAATCAGTTATGCTCAAATGGCTGTGGCTGAGCTTTATTTTTCAGTCTGTGACCTTTATGGCGTTTACATTTGCAGAACAGCTGAAAAACCATCACCATTAATCGCTTTTTCCCCCTAATGCTTAGACATAGCACACTCTGCCAAGCAGTTGTGGTTTTTGTGAAATATCAAGCTCCTATGATACCTCACAAGTTTGCAATTATATTTAGAAGTTAATATGTGACCACAGTTTGCAATGTCCAAGTGCAAGAATCCACTGCCCCTGTTTCTGTGGATAAACATCTGAAAAGTTCCAAAGCGGCAGGCACAGAGATTCTCTTATGGCTTTAAATAAGCAACAACTGAGTACACAAAAGGTGCAGCATACTTTGAAGGGGAGTGATACTAGAGCAGCGCACTTTTTTCACAAAGTAAGAGTAACTGACAAACAAAGTTCCTGTATTAGCGCTGTCTTCCTGTCACTAACCATGCTGTGCAGCAGGCAACCTCAAAGAGCATGTTGCCCAGTAATAACGGAACAAATTGAGGCGACTATTGTTTCCGACGTATTCTTATGTATTATAATAAATGCTGTCTTAAGGTATTCACGGTAATTGAATAAATGCAGAGGGTCACTCCTGCTACCACCGAGTCTTTGCAACTGAGCTGCATTTTAGTTTTCTTATCATTACTTTCTGTTCGAAGCGCCAAAGGTCCTGCCTTATGCAATATATATATATTTCAATAGACTTTTTTCAAGCAATCCCAGCCAGAATGCCCCATGGGAGTGTAGAGCACTATGGGAAAAGTGTGTATGCCGAGCAAGCTGGCTTGGCAGCATTTTCGTCTGTCGCTCACAGCTCGTTGCACCGTGGGAGCACGAAACAAAATAAACATGTCGCCACTTATTGACTACACGTCCGAACGCGCCTGCATGTATCTATGCATGAAATGTGAAAGTAATAATGCAATCAGTCAGTGTAGCTATTAGCAAAAAAAATGCACGTTGGATGCAGATGTTAAGCAGCATGCAAATTATCGAGTGCCGATGCATGTAAAACGTAGTCATGATCTATGTGAAGTGAAGCACCAAACTCATACATATTCGACGATTATTTGCTGACAATCTACTATGGCAATAGAAGCTTGTGATCTGGCTGTTAACACCAAACTGTAGAGAAGTGTTATAGTATTTTGGTGTATGTATACAGATTAACGTTTGATTGAAAATGAAAAGTCACGCACTGTACAAAGAAGTGTTACAAAGAAGTGAACACATTCAAAATGTGTTTAAGGAAGACTGCATGAGCCTAAGATTCAGTTGTCCAGTGCCTTGCTCTGATAATTGCCAGTTTATTGACACATGAATTTTTAGGGTTCGCTGCGGAGTGTGTTCACTGGCAGTGTTAATGAAAACGAGTGTTTAATTTCACGTTGGTGCAATTGAATATTGTTAAATGAGGAAATGTGATGCCATGCTTACGTACACATCCCACTCGATAAAAATTTACGCACATAAGCTGAGCAGTAATTTCCAGCTGCAAATTGATAACTTCAAGAAGGTGGGATATTCTCGCATCACTGCATTGGTGTGCCAAAAGTTCTTTCACGTTGCAAATATACGGACGTCCTCCAACAGTGAACAATGAAGGAACTAGGAATATTGCAGCTACTCCATGTATGCTTAAAAAGTAGCACGTCCTGAAATACGCAGAGAAGCGATATAGAGAGAGGGTTGTGTTTTCCACAATTCCCGTAGTGCACAAGAGATTGTAGTGGGCAAGAAAAAATGCAGCCAGATGTTTTCCAACTGTTTTTTTTTAATTGTGTAGAATTTGTTGACCAAATTCCTTTTTTCATGCGTTCATGTCTACATCTACCAGGCTTACTGGCTGATGTATTACTAACACACACCTCAAAGAGGATCGAAATTCATTGAATGGAGTCGTTTCATCCCGTCCCGCATTTAAAATCTTGCAAATGTAACCCAGTCTTCGAAACAACCATAATTGTATTGTCATTCTAATAAGACCACACGAGGAATCTTGGTGATCGATCATTTCATATAAAGAACACAGCACTTTGTATAGGTCAGCCTTCCTTATTGTCGCAAGACAAACAATTCAGCTTTTTTAATCGACCGTGTGAATTAACACGCTTCTTGGTTGTTTAACTTCCTGTGCCTCTTTGTGACGTGCGTGATGCATCTCTATTTTTGTATATATGTTTTTTTCACACATGAAATAAACTCTCAGTAGTAATTGAGCGCTAGTGTTATGTTCATTTCTTTCCGTGCCCAGCTGCTTTGTGTCTATGCTCCAAGTTTTATTCTGACATGCACAGTTATAGTGCCAAGGAAGGTTACTGATGCTTGTGGTTTATTACCCGACGCGCATGCTGTCTATAGTGAATGTGTCTTGGTTTACTAAATTGACCATACTTTTTAGCATATTCTTTAAATATCGGAGCCTCATATAGTACCCTTCAACAGTGTCGAAGAGCCCCACCGCGGTGGTCTAGTGGCTAAGGCACTCGACCACTGACTCGCAGGTCGCATCATCGAATTCCGGCTGCGTCGGCTGCATTTTCGATAGAGGCGAAAATGCTGTAGACCTGTGTGCACATTAAAGAACCCCAGGTGGTCGAAATTTTCAGAGCCCGCCACTACGGCGTCTCTCATAATCATATGGTGGTTTTGGAACGTTAAACCCCACAAATTATTATTTTATTAATAGTGTCGAGGAGTTGGTTCCAAATGTTTCCGCAAATTATACTCCTGCACTTCATAGGCAACCGAGTTATGCCTTTTTTAAATTTAATTTACGTTGTAAGGTGTACTGGTGAAAAAAATATTATAAGAAAAGGTGACAATTCTCAGCCACTTAGCTGATGAAACAGTGAGACAGATGAAAATCGCAGAGAAGCCGTGGTAGCTAAGCACTGAGGTTCGTGATTGAATTGTGCTGCAATAAATTGCACCTTGTTAAATTCACTTCATCTGAGAAGTGCACTGGCACAGTGCAAGCAGGACGCTAAAATGCGCACGTAGCGGCGCACACTTTTTCCATGAGCACTTGCTTGCCTGTTGGGGGCACTCATATGCTTGAAAAAGGTCTACAGCTCACTTGTAGCTTAATGAAAGAAAAACTTCGTGGTGGAACATCCAACACTATCACTGCTTAGATTTATGACAAGTTTAAAAAACCTCCCTTTTTCATTGTAGGCAAGAAACAAGGAGCACGCATGCATACAGGCAGACTTCGTCAAACATAAGGTGTTTCCTGTCTGACTGCTGTTAAAGCAGAGCAACACATTGTATCGCAACCATGACGCAGTAACCAACTCTCACAACCTTTTTTCAACTTCATTTCCTTTGGTAAATAAAGATACGCCAAAAAATATGTTACAGCGCCTGTTGAGACTCCTTATAACACCTTGTACACAAGGGCAAAGCCATGGGCATAGAGCTAAGCATGGCAGTGCTTCAGGTGTAAATTTATGCAGGTGGCACTAAAGGTTCACACTCGTGCTCGGACAGTCAGAGCGACATCCACTGCATATAGGGCTGAGGCTATGAGACCAAGCACCTGGAAAAATGACGATAAAGAAAGAAAAAGTTGGTACAGTCTCTTTAATGATTCTGCAATGCCACTCACTTATGCTAATATATGATACCAGTGGGCAAGCAAACACTGAATTATCTGAATAATGTTTAAATTAAGTATCTAATTAAGTATCTAACATGTCTGTGAGTCAATTTTGAAATTTACACTGTGGAATTAATGAGAGCTGACTGCAAAAACATTGTATGTATTCTTGTCCTACAGCAGTACTTAGTTCTAGCACTATCAAAGAGAAGTGTCTCACTGAATAGTAGCTTCTTAAACTTTGCACCAAAAAAAAAAAAAACTGCCATTATGACACAAGATACCCTCCACACTTATAATAATATCTGCATTGTTATACGTGCTGAAAGACACTCAATGCCCAAATAACTCACCTATGTGTGCAACATTTCACATCATAAAGATAATAGAAAGTGACAGCAATATTCAATAAGAGGCAGTCAAAGTAAAGTAAAAAAGTTTCGCATCCATTTGGGCATAACCAATCTTAGTGGATTTTTTAATAAAAGAAGTCGGGGGGGGGGGGGGGGGGGGGGGGTGTATAACGCCCGCAATGCCTTGTAATATTCACATCAGGCAAAATCCTTCCAAATGATTGCCTCTGACATTGAAAATAATCGTAAGCACAAACTTTCGTTCCTAAAACAAATAGCTTTACCTTCTTACTGATGTCCTCGCCATGATTGTTGGTGAATTGTGCTCAGCAAATTATAATTGCACCTGCTTAGACCTAGTTACTTTAGTATCAGTAAAGATGAAACATGTATTCTGAAAGAGCCAAATACTGAACTTGTGGAGAACTCTGTTTAGAAAAGGCAAGAAATACACATGTTGATAGCATGAGAGCAGAGAGTAGAGCAATGTTTTTTTACAAGTAAAAACAGCTATGCTGAGTGCAGCAAAAAAGAAACTTCAGTGTTAGGGTTGTTGAAAATGGAAGACGAAGAATGTCTCACACCGTGCGCCTATAATCATTACGATCAGTGGGAATTAAACGCGGATGAAGAAGGCAGGCATGCCGCCAGTCTCTGTCTTTTACAAAGGTGACTGCCTCACTATGAAGGGAGAGCAACAGCAGGTGAAGGTACAATGACCTTGAAAGCAGGAGACTGAGTCTGCCAAAAAGCAAGGAGAAGTTACAGGTATTTCGGCACTTTACTCTTGGAGGAGAGATAAAAAAAAAGGTGACCAATGGTTTCTAGAAACTAGTGTTTTACTGAGCCAAAAAAGTCTATTCGTGAAAAAATACTTGAAAATTTGTGATCCTGTATTGCTGTACTGGTGCGCTGAGATTTCGGCATGAAATTAGAAAAATCCAGTGCCAAAAAAGGGGACATTTCACCTGATGTTTCTCTTTAGGTCATCAGACTCGTAACGCAAAGGTTATGGGTATAATCTTTTAAAGAATACTTTATCAGTCTAAACTTATTTTGTGTTTCCAGTTAATGTTCCTCAGATTTTTAGTAATTTGTGTTATTTATTTACAGACTACATACATTGCCATATAGGCATTACATGGGGGGGGAGGTAAAAACATAACCAGTAAATAAAAGAAAGGCATTGCAGTGATATATAGACGCATGTACAAATGTCACTGTAACATTATCAGAAGGAACATAGGTATGGCTCAAGAAATACATTTTCAAGACATGTAGTAGATAATGATAATGATACATTTGTTAATGCACGAACAATTCAACAACATAAATGGATACCGTATAAATGAAAGCATCACTGACAGAAATACTGATGACGGCTTCTGGTGACAAAAAAAAAACAACAATCAAGGACTCTCGTCATGAATATCTCGGACAAAACACAAGTAAAACAGCTCGTTTTCAGAGTGCACAGTAAAATGATACTTGTGCTGATTTGTAATGGTGACAAACTCTGTTAGATCTGCAAATTGGGATGGTATAAGGCCACCGCAGCAAAGCAAAGTTGAAATTTAAACCAGCATTACTAATTAAAATGGTATTGAATAAGACTTGAATGATTAGGCAGCATTTTGTGAGCCTTAAATTATGGAAGCCTATATTGTATAGTACTTTTAATTTGGTTTTTAAACAAATTCGACCAAAAGAAGTCATTTGTTATATTTCACTGAGCTTCAACTCTAGGGATGTTTACGCTGCTGGGTAACATGACCTTAAATATGGTGGAAGAACTGGCATAGGACATCATCTATATGTATGGCTCAGTTAATAGATCATTTCATAATCTGAAAGAGACATTAATGAGTATCTCACTTACCCCAGCAGCTATGATGCTGCCCAAACCAACATATTGTGATGCATTAACAACACACGTCAATCCTCCAGACAGGTAGAAAATGAAGCCCACTATGTGGTAGTTGAGGTACTGCAAACATTTTTAGATCAGTCAGTAATGTATTTCCAATGATGCAACTAAATAAAGTGTGCTATGTTGGTGAACTGGGACAAAATGGCACATTTAGCACAATGTGCTCCTTAATATATCATACAGTAAACTCTCAGTACGTGGAAAATAGCAATCTCCTAAACAGAAGTGCTGCTTAAATAGAGAAAATGTTTCTAATATGACTGGTTTTGTACTCAAAGTCCCCTGTTGATCTTTCAGTAAACGGAACTCCTGTTAAATAGAACATATTTTTGTGGTCCCTTCAGATTCCATTAAACGGGCATCTTAGGAAATCATAGTTGCTGTAATCACTTGAAAATAACACTGACACCAGACATGATACACAATATATAACAGCTATAAACAATGTGTTATGATGTTTTTAATCTGCTCGTTCAAAGCCGAAGCGCTTGTTACTAGTGTTGTAATGGTATCATTCATAGTAAATGCAAAAGCCATGAGTTATCATACTATGAATGATGGATCTAGAACTGTCACAGGAACAAAGTCAATGAAAGCTACGGAAGTAGAAAAGCAAGCAGTGAATCAAAATATTTATATATGATAGACTGTGCAGGCAGTTAGCACCGCCCATATGATGCACCAACATGCATGCACTGTAGGTGATGTGTAGTGGTGGGCACCATGGTGTGAGGGAAAGAGTGCTGCTACGTACGAGGTGTGTTAGAAAAGTAATGCGACTGAAAACACTGCGGGCGATCTCACGACATTGTGTCTAACGGCCTGTGCTAGACCAGTTTGTTTATCCCTTCCATCTCCTAAGTCCGAGTTACAACTCGGACTTAGGAGATACTGTCAACTCCATACAGCGCTGCAAGTGAAGTTGTGTTTTTGTTGCGTGGTACAGAAATAGATCACCAGAATTTAGAGCAGCACTGCACCATGAAGTTTTGCATTAAACTTGGTTAATCCACAAGTATCGCTTTTGAAATGTTGAAACAAGCATATGGGGAACATTGTTTACCAAGAGCAAAAGTTTTCAGCTGGCACAAGTCATTTTTAGAAGGCCTAGAAAACGTTAAAGCGAACTTCACTCAGGGAGATATTACAGACAAGTGGATGCTTCATCATGACAATGAATCTTGTCACACGGCCCTGAAAACACGTTATCCTTGTTCCTCAACCCCCTATTCACCTGATTTGAATCCTTGTGACTTTTTCCTTTCCCCGAAATTGAAACATGCCCTAAAAGGACGTCATTTTGGAACTCTGGAGGAGATTCAAAAGACTGTGACCAGCCTGTTAAAACCTATATCAGTTGGAACAACAAGAGTGGGAACAACAACTCCGATGGTGTATAGCTGCCTTGAAGGGGGTATCATTATTGTTGGAAAAAAACTGAAAAATTTGCTTAGTACAAACTAAGTCTTATTTTTCCAATGCACCTCGTATAGTAGCATGCTGCACTAGTGCACAGACTAATAGACCACGACAACATGTTGATGTAGGAACATGACCCGTGATGTAAGCAGAGTACAAAGACATGACTGCTTAAATTTCATTAGCTTGCAAAATGACATAAGCATTCTTTTATATAGCACAATTAAAAAGCAGCCAGTCATCAAAACGTGCAATGGGCATGCTCACTTCTAAGCACTTTTTCTGCATGTGTACTGCACTGCACTTCCCCAATTCCAAGTTTCAAGCATTTACTCCCGTGTACACTCTTTCTTGCTCACTAGTTTAGATTCTGAAAACTGATATGGCTATGTATACACTTCAGGCATGGTTGCTTACCATTTACAAGCAGTGTGCTTAAACTGTAGAAACAAGACTGCACCACCAATTAGGTAAATATAGCAAATCATACATGCTATGAAGTACCATACGTATGGGCAACATAAGCCCTGCAGGCTTCTTTGTTAAAGCACATGGCATCTTTTCACGAAATCCGCAGTATTAATGTAATCGCTCTATACTCTCGGCATGCTTGTTCAGTTTTGTAGTAAAGGATCATTGTTACTATCTACATAAGTGAAATGTTAGCTGGAGCTTTAATTTAATTTTGTGGTTATGAACAATATTATTTTGCATAAATTTTATTCATTTTCAATTCACATGTTTCTAAATGATCACTTGTGATCTCGGTACTGGATTTCGTTGCTTTCAATACTTACAAAAAGAGTTCCGATAAGGAGTGATCCTGAGTAGGAGCCCATTGCCGAAAGTAGAATAATGAAACTGACGACAGAAAAAGCAAACGCTGTCATCATCAGGAACAACACCCAGGATACATTATAGGTCTTGATCAGCAGCGACATCACTATCAGTCCCACGATCTGTGGAGATACAAAAATATACACATTCATTGGTACTTCTCTAAGGAGTTTTTTTTAGTTCTGGTCTTGTTACTGAACCTCAGTTGAGAAGATAACGATACACAAGTATAAAAGCACGAAAAAGGTAAACAAATGCTGCAACAAACTAAATCTAATTCTTCTTTTCTTGTGAAGAAGTCATATGGAATACGCAGTGTTCATGTACTTCGAGTTGTCAACTAATTCACCCACACGCCACGTGCAACGGTAAGCTTCCTCGTTAACTCATTTGATAGAGCAACCACACCAGGAAGGCATTGATCCCGTGTTCAATCTTTGAACCAGAACAAATTTTTTTCAACTAAGAAACTTTCCTTTCTCGGAAATCCAAGATATGAGTTTTCTTGTAGCTTTTCAATACAAATGAGTGGTTGCCAACTTTCCCTGTCATAATCCTTCCGACCCTTTAGTTAAGCTTCCACTGTCACAGAATTGTTATCAGTCTCCACATCTGAGAAGTGATGTATGCAAAAAGGAAGCTCCCTAAGCTCATTGTAGAAGGAAAAAACAAAACATCAGAATTTACAGGACAACCACTGAAGAGGAGTTCCCGCTGTCGAAGCAAGAACATTAAATTATACTTTCTGTGTCATTTGGTGCCAGTAAAAGCCAAGCTGGAAAAACTTATTGTAATTAGCACATAAAATACTGTGTTTCCCAGTGTTTTTTTTTGTTCTTTCTGTGATAAGTAAGAATGTTCAAGAAACGAACATTCGAAGCTTGTGAGTTTGGATACTACCAACAGAAAGGGTGACTTTTCTTCCACCTTAATTCATTTCAATTTATGCCATTATTACTTAACTACAGTTAAAGGCAATAATTAATGGCACATATGCTTTCCCCAGCCTAATGTATGTTGGACTCATTTGTCAAACATGAATGTTTGAGAAAAATATATGGCCTTTAAAAGACTAATAATTCAAGACTGAATATTTTCACTTGTAAGCAATGTAGAATATAACATTTTCATGAACAGTGGTCTCACAAGGGGGTACATATGTCTTGCAATAGTAGCCATTTTGTTGTTATAAATATTCTTTATATTTAATTGTATAAAATTTAAAATAATGTTTTGAAATATTTTTTTAATTCACTGACAATTATGATATTGCCAAATGCGAATTTTGAGTTTAGTTTAGGGCAAGGCCAACTGTGTTTGAAGGTTTGGCTCTCTGCAAGATATCGACTACGCCGTCAATCATCATTTTTGCGAAGCAAGACAGCACCCATTAGGCCGCTATTCGTATTTCTTCAGATAAGCAAGGTACTCGTGACACATCTGTAAGGTATGTGCATTTTGTTGATGATGCACATGTCTGATGGTGAATAATTGTGGCCGAGCACATTGCAGTAGGTGGGAAACATTAAAGTGCACACTCGTTGCACAATTAGAATTGTGTGATGACTGGTTGTTACAGGGCTGCCGTCTTGAGGGAAATTTCCTAGATTAAGTACACTTTTAGGTCTGTGTGCGAGAAGAAAGAAAATTTGTAATTTCACTAATTTTATTTTTAAGATAAATTTTGATATTGTCATCCAACCCTTAGTACTCCAGTAGATTCTATTACTACCTTTAAAAAATTTTTTTTCTAATACTGTCATACATTAACCGTGATTGTTGGTTTTCTACATATTTTGAGGCACTGCTGTGATCCCCCTGTGTGGGTAGGCAGGTGATGGTTCGTTGTGTCACTTTACATTCACATTTAGCACTTACCCTTCGTCTCGATATTAGTTGCTTTAGCTAGCACCGCTAATTCACCACATATAAAATATGATAATACTTCCGTATCTGCCGAAAAGTGTGCTTGTGTGAACTTTATTGCATCGTAACTCTCTGAACTTTGCCAAGCTGTACTAAGTTCACCATACCAAAATGAATGCCGGGTCTATCCGAATACAGTAAGCTGTGTGGATGACTGTCGTGGTTTACAAACCAATGTGATTAATAAATAATTGTTTTTTAATAACTTTATACCTATCACATCGTCTTTTTGAACTTCTCCCAAACATCTAAATTGGCATTGGCTGCTTTCACTGGTGACTCTCTGATTGGCCATTTAACAAGCCCAGCACAGTGTTGGCTCAGATCAGTCAATGAGAATTACCTGACACGCAATGAAGTCCTGGGTTGTTGGTTGTGCGGCCTTTGTGTGACTGCAAACTCCGTGCTTATTACCAAAGACAGGGAAGCTGAGTATGCAGGCAACAGTGTAACTGATCAAAATTCTGAAAAAAGTGGCTCGAGCTGGTGCCCAATAGGAAGAATAATTGAGCATTGCTGTCTATTAATCATTACTTTGCTTTTGTTCAAATAATTTGTTGTTAAATTTATGCTAAGCAAATACTTGTCAGTACAAATAATACTTACGCAATAGAAATCCCAGTCACACAAGAAATCATGAATAATTTCTATTTTCTTATGTAAGTAAGGAAAATTTTGGTAGAAAAGGGGAAATTTCAGCTGTCTGGAAAGGTATCCTGCCACACTATATTACATAGGTTAATGTGATTCCTTGCCCGACATGATGCCTGAAGACATGAATAGGGTCTTATTGCAAGAGAGTTTGAGCACCAGTGTGACTCTGTAATAGCATACTCGACTGCCACCCAGAGGTCCTGGGTTCAAATCCATTCAACCTAAGGTATTCTTTTTTTTTTTCTCATTTAATTTTTTCACGTCTATCAGTTGTACCACCAACAGCAACACCGACACAATTCAGTGCAGTAACAAGCATCTAACAGCAGCAATCTAAATGAAAAAAAAATTTATAAGCGACCAAATCTAAGCATGAACGTGACAGTGATTGTTATGCACGTGACAGCTGTTGTTGTAACTCAAGCTTGTATGTGAATTTTATGGGTGAGTCAGAATGGGAACACCTTATTATCTAACATTTAGCATTCTTGGCTAAATGACTGTGATTTTGTATGTTATGCGTATACCGTTCTCGCACGTGTGTTGCTCATATGTATTCACTGTGATATCTTATTTGATGACTAGTTCGCGAAATCATTTGCACGCACATTAGGTGGGGCATTCTAGCAACAATCTTTGCGCATCCATAATGCACCGGCTCGATACGAATTTTTCTTAAAATTCGAACAGACTGATGTTCAATTCAAAAACGAACAATTCTGTGGCAAGAATGTCAAAGTTTAACGTGTCATTTCACGTGTTGCCAATGAAACGAGCAACACCTGTGAAGGGGATGCGTGGCACATGCATTATATTTTTTCTATGACGCGACACTTTTAATAAGCTCACGGAGGTGTCACAAATATATGTCTCAAGACGCATTCATTTTACGCAGTAATCAACAAAATATACTGAGAATTAAATGTAGCTTCGTGCGCCACTTTCAAAACGCAGAACTACTGTCTGCTTCGTCGGTGTTTCTACGTCTACGTGCACATGTCGAGTTAATACAATAGCGATGCTACTGCTATGAAATGGTCCTTCTCCAACACTTACCACTTGGGCTATTTTGATCCAACCGTCAGGTGTCTTCAGATAACCGAAGTTGAAGGCACATAACGCCAGTCGCTCGTTCCCGCCGGACGATGAGACGGTTGTTGTTTGTTGCGTTACGGTAACAGGCATTGCGTGCTTCCGTGGATATAATGCTCTACACAGCTCGCCTTGCTGGTACAAACTGTTCCTGGTGATTGCAGCTACCTTAACAACCCACAATGCAAGTATTCTCGTAGGCGTAGCCGCGTACCACTAGCATTGGCGAAAATCCACAGGCCAGCGACGTCGGCGACGTTTCGCTTGTATGGCCCGTCGACGGCGCTTCTACCTAGATTTTCCCATATTTCCCTAGACATGTTACCGAGAAAGGCGGGAAGACAAAAATTGGTTTGTGAGCTTATAATAAATGGCGCCCCCGCCAAGTGCTGGAGGTGAAAATATCAAGCAAGAACATTTGTTGCATATTTGCAAAGGTTACTAAGATACATATATATCCACTGCAATAAAAATGGCTCTTACTAAAACGCAAGCCACAATTATAATTCCTTTCTCAAAATGTATGTCATGGCAGCTCGTTACAATGGAATTATAAAACAAACGACAGTGGTACACGACCTTAAATCGTGAAATAACTCAAATTATACGCCTTTTTATCGAATTTCGTCTTCAAGGCCATTAGTATATGAGCATTTTCCAATATTTACGCGGTGCGTGCGTCTTAGAATGTCTGAACATTTTACAGAGAAAGCGAAGAGCTGGAGAGGGCAAACAATTTCATTTTTAGGCGTTCTCTCCTAAATGCTTGCATATTGTTATCTGTCAGAGAGACCTTTCCAGCTGGGTGAGCGCTGCTTCTGCTCTGAACAGTGGTCTTTCAAAATGTCGTCGATGCTTTAATGCTTTGGGACTTCAAAGTCACCTAGAGTTTTGTCAAGCAGCCTTTGCATGCATATATTGTTTCAGCGAGTTGTGATGAAATGGTTTTATTTACAAGAGGTGAGCGATGGTCGTTCGCGGTACGCGCACTGCGATGTTCCCAAGCCTCTTCGTCTTCCTCCCTTTCTCTTCTCTGCCTTTCACATGTCCGTTACATTCCCCCGCAAGCAGACGAAGCCCGTAGGGCGAGTTATGATGCACAAGGAAGGTAGAAAGGTTTTAGGCGAGCAATGTGAGTGAGCTGCGTTCTGCTCGATCGATTGGACAAAAGACGAGCTATTTACGTAGGTGAGCTGGATGAGACGCTCCAAAACTACAAATGGCCCTGAATATCGTGACAGAATCTTTTGACACAATCTACGCTTACGTTGCGGTGTCGAAAGCAACACCAAATCAACCTTTTCAAATGATACTGGTTCGTGACGGTCGTCGTATCGTTTCTTCGAACGACGTTGAGAGGCCAGAGTTCGAAGACGAACGATTCGGTGGGCTTATTCCGCGAGGCACAAGGTGTACGATGCAGAATCGTCCTTGTGTAGAATGAACGGTAAGAAAGTGTCCAGAGGGCTTAGAGGCAACCTGGCGTACAACAAATAAAATGGGCTAAAGTTCTTTGTTTCATGTTTTGCCGTGTTGTACGCGTACGGGATAAAAGGCAGCTTGTCATGCCAGTTCTTCTGATTGGAGGAAACTTACATGGCAAGCATGTTGATCAGCGTTCTGTTTATCCGTTCAACGAGGCCATTTGTCTGCGGATGACACGGCGTGGAATGACGGAACTGTGTCATGCACATGCGAAGTAATTCTTCAACGGCATCAGCAGTGAACTGGCGGCCACGGTCGCTGATAATAACACGCGGTGGGCCATGGCGAAGGACCACGGAGGGGAGCAAGAATACTGCCACGAAAGAAGCGGTAGAAGAGGGAATGGCTGCGGTTTCGGCATACCGCGTAAGATGATCCACGCAGACGATCCAACGGTTCTTATTGTTAGATAACGGGAATGGACCCAGAATGTTAATTCCTATACTTGTTCAAAAGGCATGCTGGGTGGCGTTAATGGCTGAAGGGGACTTGGTGTTGTGGTGGCCGGGTGCTTGTGACGTTGGCACGTCTCGCAACAAGCGAAGTAACGCTTCGTTGTTTCGTACATCTTGGGCCTAAAAGTGTTCCTGCGTATGGTGCAGCGTTCGTATGAAGCCGAAATGACCGGATGTCCCATCGTCGTGCTTAGCACGTAGAACATCGGAGCGAAGGCTCTCAGGGACAACTAACAGAAAACGTGCTCCAGGTATGTAGTAGTTAGTCTTATAGAGCAACTTGTCTCTAACCGAAAAGCGACCACTGTGTTGGGAGGTATGGGCGGCGGCAAAAAGAGGATCCAGGTCGAGATTGTTGCGTTGTTCTCTCTCCAAGTCAGCCGTATCAAGGAACTTGCTTGTAACAGCAGAAAAGCTGTCGTCAAAATTCACAGCATCGCAGTCGGTATAGTCGCAAGAGGAATCCGGGAGGGGCAGTCTGCGTCAGCGTGACGACGGCCACTCTTGTACGACACCGTAAAGTCGTATTCCTGAAGTCGCAGCGCCCAACGTGCGAGGCAGCCAGAGGGATCACGCAAACCGACCAACCAGCATAACGAATGGTGATCGGTAATTATCTTAAATAGCCTCCCGTAAAGATAACAATGAAACTTCTGTACGGCGAAAACAGCTGCCAGAAGACATTCCTGTTCCGTAGCTGTGTAATTGCGTTCCTATTTGCTCAGGCAACGGCTGGCATATGACACGGCATGCTCTACGCCACTGTGACGTTGTACAAGCACCGCTCCTACGCCGATACCACTAGCGTCAGTGTGGACCTCAGTCGGGCAAGATGGATCAAAGTGACGCAACAGTGGTGCTGACGTTAGTACAAACTTAAGTTGGGAGAATGCGGCGTCACACTCTGGTGTCCAGTTGAAAGTCGCATCCTGTCGCGAGATGCTTGTCAGCGGGTACACGATCTCCGCAAATCGTGGAACAAAACGAGGAAAATATGAGCATAGGCCTACAAATTAGCGAAGTTCTCGTGCAGACTGCGGCGGTTTGAAAGAGGTCACTGTTTCTATCTTGCGAGGATCGGATCTGACGTCATCCTTGTCGACTAAGTGCCCCAACACCAGAGTTTGACGTTCGCCAAAGCAACATTTTTTTTTTTTTGGAATCCAGAACCAGCCCTGATTTTTCGATGCAGTCGAGAACAAGACTGAGACGCTTGTTATGTTTTTCAAACGTGCGGCCAAAGATCACAACATCTTCAAGGTAGCACATGCATATCTCCCATTTTAAACCACGTAATACTGTGTCCATAAATCTTTCAAAGGTGGCAGGCGAATTACAAAGGCCAAAAGGCGTGACATTTAATTCAAATAGGCCATCCGGAGTTACGAAAGCAGTCTTTTCTTTGTTGTCGGGTTCCATAGGTATTTGCCAATAACCGGATCGCAGATCAAGCGTTGAAAAATAGAGGAGGCGGCATGCAAGCAATCTATGACGTCATCAATCCGTGATAAGGGATATACATCTTTCTTCATCACAGTGTTTAGACGCCTGTAATCTACGCAGAATCTCCAGGAACCATCCTTTTTCCTGACAAGAATTACCGGGGCTGCCCACGGGCTGGACGACTCTTGCACGACACCTTTGTTCAGCATGTCCTTTACTTGTTCGGCGATAACTTTGCGCTCAGAGGATGACACTCGATAGGGCTTTTGGCGGATGGGGTACGCATAGCCAGTGTCTATTCTGTGACGAGCGCGGGACGAGGGCAACTGAAGGGGTGAATCTCTATGTTTGAAGTCGAAAGCAGCAACATGCCGGGAAAGGACCTGTACCAGCGCTTGCCGTTCTGTTGTACAGAGAGCCTTGCTGATCATACGGCGTATTACAACTGAATTCGTTGTGGCGAATATCGAAAGGAGAGGAAGAGGTGGTTAGGTTCGTAACTAGTGCCTCTATCAAGCTGCATGAGGCTTCATCGAAGAGAGCTATCTTCATCCCGCGAGGTAGCACAACCGGCGTGGAAGAACAATTCAGCGCCCACATTGTTACTACTCTTTTTGTCATGCACACAACAGAACAGGGCACAAGTATGTCCTTCTTAGAACAGTTCTTGCGCAGAGGCCCCACTACGTACAAGGTCAACACAAGCAGCATCAACCGCTGTGGAAGAGACTCGAGCGGGTGTCAGGCACCAAGATGGTGCTATCACTTCATCAATCACACTAAGCGTGTTCCTGTCTTCGCCACGGTAGCCTCCTTCGGAGAGCGACGGTAGAAACAAATTGTTTAATGATATTTCCCCACTGCCACAGTCGACGGAAGCATCGCATTGCTCCTGAAAATCGATACCAAGAATGACATCGTGCGAACAACGAGATAGAACCAGAAATTCGGATACAAATATATTCCCAGCCAATGAAACACTGACAACACATACACCAAGAGGATGAAGCCACTCGCCGCCTACTCCACGAAAGGTAATATTATCGTTCCATGAAAACATGACTCTGCGACCTAAGCGGTTTCTGAAGGCGAGGCTCATCACAAAGTCGTCCCAGTGTCAACTAACGCCATCGTCGTTATTCCATCTATCAACTCATTCACTTTGTTTTTGAGCATAACAACAGGCAGAGGCGTATCTTGAAAAGACCGTCCGGCGACCTCACCTCCAAGCCGCGGGTGCTAGTTTCCCGGCGGCGGAGAGGAAGAACGACGCAGAGGAGACGGCGAGCAACGAGAACGGTTGAATGGTGGTGTAAAACTCCGCTCGGATGCTGGCGAATCGCCGCCTCTGGTCTCGCGTGAAAAACGGTCCCTTGGAAACAAGTCGGTCGTCCGCAGGTCATATGAAGCACCGGGTCTTGGTGGCGAAGACATGGCTCGAGCCCTTCGTGACAGGCGGCGTTGTTGGCGGCAATACCGAGCGATATGCCCAGTGAAACTACAGTTATAGCACACGGGAGGGTCGCGGTTTATACTATATTCATCGGAACGAATCCTGGGCCGCTGCTGTCGGCGAGGAAGTTCGTTATCACGCGAATAACGGGTTTCTGCCACTCTCTGGAATCCATTGTATTGGTCGTAAGTGTCATCTTGGTAGTAGGGTCGCTGCTGTCGTTGCCGCAGCGGGACGTAGTCTGGCTCAGAGTCCTTAGCATAAGAACGCGGCTGTCCTCGTCGTGATCGAGCGTCAGGGCCTCTATGGTAGAGACGTGGCTGATACCGAGGCGCGGCATCAGAATCCTCAATGCCCTCCGCCACTCGGTTTCGCTCGAACTCTGGTGGCAGGTAGGGAGGATGTGTGCTTGGTTGGTGTGCCACTTGCGCGAACAGGCCGAGTTCTTCACGTACTATTTGCCGGACCGTTGACGCAAGATCAAGCGGCTGGTTGTGCTCTATACTTGCGATAGTCGTCACATTGGCTAGCCTGCCCTACTTCGGCGTGACGCGCCTGTTCTTCAGTTGCTCAAAAGTGCGGCAATGGCGAATAACATCTGCGACAGATGTCAGGGTGTCTTTCGCAATTAGGAAACTGTAAACACCCTCGGGGATTCCTTTTAGGATGTGCCCGACTTTGTCTTCCTCAGACATTTCGTAGTCAATGATACATAGCTTTATAACTTACTCAACGTAGGTCATGCAAGTTTCGCCCGGCACTTGCGCGCGTTGCATTAGCGTCTGTTCTGCTCTTTTCTTTTCCGTTGTGGGGTCACCGAAACGCTTTTTGATCTCGAAACGAATCTTTCCCACGTCGCTAGCGTTTCCTCACGATTCTCGTACCACACTGACGCAGTATCCGTAAGAAAGAACGCGACGTGCGAAAGCTGAGAAGCGGCATCTCATTTGTTGGCGGCGCTCACCCGTTTGTAATGGATGACCCAAGCCTCGACGTCTTCATCTGGTCTGCCGATGAAAGGACGATCATTTCTCAGTTGTGGAGCCGGACTGATTGGCGCTGAAGTCGAGAGGGGTCGATGTTCATCTGCGTTGTGGGACATGTCCAGCCCAGATGGGTTCGGT